AATGATTGCCATTCTAACTGGCATGAGATGGTATCTCAATGTGGTTTTGATTTGCATTTCTCTAATGAACAGGGATGATGAGCATTTTTTTCATATGTTTATTGGCCTCATGTATGTCTTCTTTTGTAAAGTGTCCGTTCATATCCTTTGCCCATTTTTGAATGGGCTTGTTTGTTTTTTTCTTGTAAATTTGTTTGAGTTCTTTGTAAATTCTGGATATCAGCCCTTTGTCAGATGGGTAAACTGCAAAAATTTTTTCCCATTCTGTTGGTTGCAGAAGAAAATCTAGGCAAAACCATTCAGGACATAGGAGTAGGCAAGGACTTCATGACCAAAACACCAAAAGCATTGGCAACAAAAGCAAAATAGACAAATGGGACCTAATCAAACTCCACAGCTTTTGCACGCCAAAAAACTCAGCTCTTTCAAACGATACCACGGATGATACCAACTAAAAGCCTGACTGCTGCCCCTCCCTTTTGTGGTTTCCACAAAACAACTGACCAGCATTCCCTCCTGATAAGAGTGGTTCTGGCAAATCTATGGAGAATGTGCAGTGTGGGTTTTATGTTTTCTGTTTCACCTTTTGACATCAGAGAGCCGAAAACTCCACCCTCAGATCAGGCTAACACCACTGTTTTTTGAACATGGTCCCATGGAGAAGCAGGAAGTTCAATTGAGCATGCTTGCAGGTTGCAGCTCTTTATGAGAAATAAAGCTCTGCTTCAAATTTATGAACCTCATCATTCTTCAGTTGCCATTTTTATCAAGTTTAGTAACTAGAAGTCAGGCTTTTGGCCTTTCTAGTCATTGCTCCTGTGCAAATTTATAGATATGTTGGCCATTAAAGCATTGTCATTATCTGAGATCTAAGGCCATATTTGTTTTCTAGAAATAGTTATATTTTTATTCTTTTTCTTTATTATTACATTTTTATTAATACTATTTCATGAAAAAGGTTCTAGTAGGTATGGTTATGTGAGTAAATACAGACAATTTACTCATTTGTAATCTTTTTACCTTCTATATGACAATTACAAAACTACGTATATATATGTGTGTGTGTATATATATGTATGTATGTGTGTGTGTGTGTGTGTGTGTGTGTGTATGATTTGACATCTTAATAAGGTTATTGGGCTTGTCCACAGTTAACAAGAGCATTGCATCTTTAGGGAAATTTAACACCAAATCAGTGTCTTAGACTATTTACTCTCAATTACAAAGGCAGCTTAGCTTTTCTGTCAAGTTTCTTTTACCCCCATGATAACAAACTTTTCTTGTTTGTGTTACTTTCTGGATCCTTAGAGCTGAAATTATTGTTAATTTCCATCACAATGATAGGTCCCAAATGAACAATCCAATTGTACTTTTTTCTTTTCAGAATTCTACCTTTTTTACTTTGGTGACTTGAAGAGAGGACAATCACAGATTGATGATTGTTCTTGGAATAAGGGCTTCCATTTATACATAACAGTTGTCCCTCTATTTGCAGGATATTGGTTCTAGAATCCCCATGGATACCAAAATTTGCAGATTTCCAGTCCCTGATATAGAATGGTGTAGTATTTACACATGACCTATACACTCCTGTTTTGTTTTGTTTTTTTTTCCTGATGGATGAAGGCGGATGGAAAGAAGCCAAGAGAAAGAAGCCTTCCTCTCTACTTTAAATCCTCTTTGGATTACTTACAATATCTGATACCTTGTAATGCTATGTAAATAGTTTTATATTGTATTGTTTTATTTTTATTATGTTTATTGTTGTATTATTTAAAGAAAAATTCAGAATATTTTTTATCTGCGATTGTTCGAATCTGCAGATGCAGAGGGCTGTGTATGTCTTCTTAACATCCTCCTAGTTGTCTTTCAGCTCCGTATTTATTTATTTTAAAAATTACATATGGTAAATTTTACTTTTTTTGTGAACACTTCTGAGTTTTCACAGAAGCATAGATTTGTGAAATCTATGTTTTCATCACAATCAAAGTATCACAATCAAAGCTATGTAAGCATCACAATCAAAGTACAAAGCAGGTCAGTCCCTCCAGAAAAAAAATTTTTATGGCCTCCTTTAGAGTCAGCCTACTCTCTTACCCTCAGATCCTGGCAACCAACCACTGATCTGCTCTTTATCTTAAAGAATTGAGTTGAGCTTCTTTCACTTGATATAATGTATTTAGATGCATCCATTTAATTGTGTATATCAATAGTGCATTTGTTTTTGTGAAGTAATTAATAAGCCATTAATTAAAAGATATATGAGTGTAACATAGTTTTTCTCCATTTACTAGTTGTACGTTGGGTTGTTTACAGTTTTTGGTGATCTTAAGTGGTTACAGAGAGCAGTTTCAACAGAAAGCCGAGGTATGGTTGAGGTATGCAGTTTTATGGGGCTTTTACCATGTCACAGTATAAACACTTAGATTTTTGGGTGAAGATGTTTTTATTTCTTAGTTAAATACTTAATGGGATTTCTGGGTTACATGCTAATTATATCTTTACACGAAACTACCAAATTGTTTTCCAAAGCAAGTGTACCATTTTCAGTTCCCATCACCGTATTTTATTTTAATCAAAAATATGTAAATATGGCCCACTTTGGTATCTATTATGTTTAGAAAAATAAACATGCAAAAAATGGGTAGTTTTGTTTTTTGTGTTCTTGTGTTGATCATAGATAACTTTGAAAATCTGATGTAATATATCAAAGTCTGATGTAATATATCAAAGAGGTGTTTTTTTTTTTTTTTAAGAGCATCCTTTTAACTGATGAAAAGAGCTTTATAGGTTATAGCCAGAGTTTTATGTACTTTGCCATTTGTGTGCTCTTTCTCATTTTTATCCCTGCCTTGTGCACACATCCTTCAGGAATTACCTTGTTGCTAAGGTGGGGAAATAAAAATTATGTTACAGTTTAAAGGGAAAAATAAAGTGGCCAACTTTAGTATCGAATTAGAGATATTTATCTAACACATATTTGCTCAGCAAATACATATTGGATGCTTATTAAGTGCCAGGTACTTTTCTACATGTTGGAGATCCAGTAGAAAGCACAAACAAAAATAAACAACTACCAAAACTCCAGCACTTAATTCTAGTGATAAGTGCTAAGGTAAAGCATACAGCATGGTTGGGGGAAATAAAATATTGGTGGGAATTAACAACTTCATTGTTAAAGTTATCTGCCTGTATTTTTATTGGACAAATGCCAAGGCTTATTTTGTTGTTGTTGTTTAATAAACTTTTCATTTTGGAATAATTTTAGATTGGCTTAAGCTGCAAAGTTAGTGCAAGATTCCAGCATACCCCCCACTCAGTTTTTCCCTAATATTATCATCTTAACATCATTTACCATTGCTATTGTAAATTTAGTTACATTGCCATTGTAAACTAAGAGACTGACATTGGCACATGTCCTTAACTAAACTTTTAGCTAAACTAGATTGTGTTTGGATTTCATTACGTTTTCCACTAACGTCATTTTTCTGTTCCAGGATCTGGTTCAGCATACCAGACTGCATTTAGTCATCCTGTCTCCTTAGTGTCTTCTAATCTGTTACAGTTTTTCAATCTTGGATTTGTTTCTTCTCTCTCATTTATTTATTTTATCATTTGTTTGTATTCCTGTGGATTCATGTGTATTTATTTTATATTTTGTTGCTCAAATGGTTCCAGCTTTGGTTTCGGGAGCTTTTTCAGATTGGTTCACATTTCCCTTTACCATACCTCCAATCTTTTGATTTTTGAGCACTTGGTTGCCTTCTGACCCTACAAGATGTTCCTGGCTCTTGTGTATTCTTTGCTCCTGCATTAAAATCAGGCCTTTCTTGAGGAGGCTTAGTTCCTGTTATTGGAGAATGGCATTTCAAAACCAAAATCTGGGCTAGGTGCGGGGGCTCACACCTGTAATTCCAACACTTTGGGAGGCCCAAGGTGGATTGCTTGAGCTCCAGACTTTGAGACAAGCCTGGGCAACAGAGCAAGACCCTGTCTGTACAAAATATTTAAAACCTAGCTGGGTGTGGTGATGCATGCCTGTAGTCCCAGCTACTCTGGAGGCTTGAGGTGGGAGGCTGGCCTGAGACCAGGAGATTAAGGCTGCAGCGAGCCATGATCATGCCACTGCACTCCAGACCTTGTCTTAAAAAAAAAGAAAGAAAAAAACCAAGATGTCATTGCTGGTATGCTCATTGCTATTGGGATGTAGCCAGTCTTTGTTATATTTTGTTAAAATGGTCTTGAAATCTAAATTTCAAAATTATGCCAAAGATGTAGCAGGCGAGAAGTAGAACACCCTGATTTAGGAAATTACAAAGTGAAAATTTTTTAGGGCTTTATTAATATTAAGCTTAGCTTTTAGAAGCAGATGTATTCCAGTAAAAGTGCATTGTATTTATTTAAAAGGGATTATGTTTATTCAAGTAATACATACTTTTGAAAGTATTTAAAATACTCATTAAGATAGGACAGTTTCTGTTCTTGAAGTTCGTTTTTGTTCTAAGCTTACTTTAATATTGGCATCCTTACCACATTGAATGGAAACAATGTATCTTTTCTTTTAATTGAATAGGACCTTTGGACTTTTTTTTCCTATGGATAGTAGGTGGAAATTGGGAATACTATTGTTAGGTTTTCCCAAGGGAAATTGAAATCAGTTTTAATAGAATTCACTTAATGAGTCTCTTTTTCAAAAGTGAGATTTTTTGTTTTGTTTTGTTAATATTTTGGGTTTTAGTCTATCGTATGTATTTTCCGCTTTGGATATTTTAAGCCACAGGGATAAGTAAATGATTTCAGCAACCCAAATACCGTTTAGTTGGTATATATTTTTTTTTGGTCCTTAGATTGTGGCAGGTTTTAAAAGTTGAATCAACTTTAAGTTGGGAGTTTAAGTTAGCTTTGAAAAAAGCAGGTAAGTTTAAAAGTGGATAAAGGTATTATTGCTGTAAAGAACAACATGCCTGTTGCTTTAATTCTGTTTGTTTTTTTCTTTGCAGAGAACGTAACTGGTCATTACATTTCCCCTTTTCATGACATTCCTCTGAAGGTGAACTCTAAAGAGGTATTGTTTTTACTTGTTTTGGGAATGAAAACGTGTACTTTCAGTATCACCATAAGATGTTTTTTGGAAGCACGTTGAAAGGAAAATGTTGGAAGTCAGGAGGACAAACAGGAGTTATTATAACAGGGTCATAAGCCTTCCATATGAATTAAAATTTGTATGAGAATAGGATTCTTCCATGAGGAATTGGTAGAAAGGGATGTTACTGGTCCATAAAACTTAGAATTTGGTAGGAAATAAAGATTTAAGAGTAGTAATTTAGGGAGTTAACAAGAGGTTTATTTACAATAGTAATTATCTAACATTTGTGGATTTTTTTTTATTTGCTAGCCACTATGTGAACATAATGTTATTTAATTGTTACGAATTGCTTTTATCTACTCCAAGGACACTGAGGCTCAAGGCATTTTCATTGACTTGTGTAAGATCTGGTAAGTGCCAGAGCCAGTTTTGAATTAGTATTTCTGACCATAAAGCTCATGGTCTTTGACCACTCTATGAAACAGGGGCTAGATAAATAAAGCAGGGGTAAAAATGATGATGTTTGAATAGCTCTTCTCTTAGAACTGAAAATCACTTGACAGTTGTCAGGGTGTGAAAGGTCCCAGGAGAACTGATCTATCAAATCAAAATCATTGTTTTAGGCCTCAAAATCATTGGGGTATTTTGAGCTCTCTCCTGATTAGTTGGTAAGATGGCATATCTGGTAGTGGATATTCATTATCATCATTAAGTTGTAAGTTATTTTCTTAAAATCCAAGTGATGAGTTACCAAATTTTTTAAGGGGAGACAGCTATTAAGTAAATAACGAGGACCACATTCCCAATTGAAATTATATGGAACTGGTTAATGGGGTTGGGTGTTGTAGGAGGTGAGGAGATCAATGTAGGGGCAGAGGCAAGTGAAGAAGTGAGGATGCTGCTTCAGATGCAAGGGTCGTTTGACCCTGGTGTTACCTCAGAGGCTGAACATCATGCATCATAGTGAGGTTATGGGATGTGAAGGAGGATTCATGCTGCTTCCCAGCTCTTCAGAATAAGGAACTTCTAGTAGAATAATATCAAGGATTTATTAAGTGCTTGTTGTGCTTTGCCAGGCACTGTGTTCCCTGCTTGACATGCTTATCTCAATCCTTCTGGCACTACTACTGTTACCCTTGTTAACGAGGCTAAGAACCTTGCCCATCATCACAAATCTAGTGTGTTTTGGAGGTGGGATTGGATTTAGGTGCTCTAACTCCAGAGATTGTACTCCTCACTTCTCTTGTGTAATGCCTCCAGCTCATTACTTTTTAAGTGTGCAACTCCAGGACAATAGAAGGAAACCAGAGGCAAAAAGAACTCTGTGTTATTGTGTGTGTCCATGTGAGTGTGTGAGAGTGTGTGTGCATATGTGTCCCTGTGTTTTGTTTTGGCTACTGAACTTTCAAACCTAAAAATCTCATGTCTCCCAACACTTTTCATTGCTTTTGGCCAAAAGTGCATGCATTCACTTATTCATTAATTTATTCATTCAGTCAATACTCATTGAGTGCTTATTATGAGCCAGGCACTGTTCTAGGCACTGTGGATATAGTAATAAATAAGATAGATGTAGTTTTCACTCAGTTGGAGAAGATAACCGCAAAACAAGTCAGTCAGATAATGTTAAGTGATATACAAATACAACAGGGAAATGTGAGATAAAATGTGACTGGTGGGTAGTGTTGTCAGGGATATGCTGTAACAAATCTGTACACCTCATCACAACAACAGTAAGAATAAAGCTCTATTTTTTGAGAATTGTGTAGTAGAGGTGGAGGTGGAAAAGGGAGTAAGCTAGAAGCATGTCAGTGAGGGTAACATTTTGTCTAAGGAGGATGGGTTTTGGGGAATATGAAATTTGGGATTAGGCAAAATTGACAATAGGGCTGGCAAATACAATAGGATATGCCAGTGAATTCTGGAGATAGGGAAATTGGTACACACGGTGGTTGTGTAAATAGGTTTCTCTAGATCTCAGTCAGTAATGATTAGAACTCCTGCTTTGTGCTTTGGGATGTAGTGTATTAAGAACAAAAATAATGTTTCAGGGCTGATTTAGAATAATTATTTTTCTGTTTGTTTTGTTTTCTTCATTAGTAGTCATTTTGGTGTAGGAACATTACACATACTGGTTGAGCATTTGTGAATGGCATAATTTTTCTCCCCAACCCACTGTGAAGTCAGTTTTAATTTAAAAGTGCTTGGTGTAATGGGAAAAGAGAAAAAGAGAAAAAAAGTGCTCCATGGAGGCATAGTAATCACACCTTGGTAGAATTCACAGGCAGGAGGTGCAGCTGAGTACTTTCACGGCTTGTTAGTCATGCTCCCTGGAGCTGCTTTTCAATAATGAAATGACTGTTTTAAGCGTAATCACTGGAAACTACCAGTCTTTCCTTAAAGACTAAACAGAGCCTTTGCTTATTTTATAAAAGCTGGGAAAATATAGTTGAAAGAGATTTAGGTTTTCTGATCATTTATTTTATGAAACACTTGGATGCTCTGTTCTGGGGATGCAAATAGGGAAAAGTGGGCATTTGGTAGGTTCTCTGTTGACTCAGATTTGTGGACAAATCCTTGTATAGAATATCTGTACAATAGTCATATTTTTATTGCTACGCAGTGCCACTGTATACTTTCATGAAATATTGCAGTCATAAACACCATCTTTTCTTTTATAGGAAAATTGCCTTCCTACAAAGAAAGCACAAAATGATGAAAATGACGTATATCCAAAGGTTTTTATTTTTGTGAATCACTTTTATTGTCTGTTAAAGACCTTGATGATAGTTTGCATTTGTAAAGTGATACTAGGGTGTTTACCCTTGCAAGACTTTCATATGCATTTTGATGTTTTTCTTTAAGGCTGCTAGGGTAGCTATTGCCATTTAATTTTTTTAATTGTGGTAAAATATTCATAACATTCATTTTAGCTTTTTAAAAGTACAGTTCAGTGGCATTAAGTTCTTTCACATTGTTGTGGAATCCTCATCACCATCTATCTCCAGAACTTTTTCATCATCCCAAACTGAAACTCCTCATTTCCCCGCTTCCCCAAGGCCCTGGTAACCACTATTCTACTTTCTGTCTCTATGAATTTGACTGTTCTAGTTATTTCATGATCACTTTATTTTACAATTCGAAAACCTGAGAGAACTAGCACAGGAACCCAGATTTTAGTAGTAAGTTAATTATCATGGGAGATGATCTAAAGTAAATGTACTTCATTATAAATGAAGTATTTTACTTTAAGTTATTATAAGAGAGATGATTTGAGAGGCTGTTTTAGAATCCAGGAACAATAATCTCTTCAGAGTAGAGGAGAAGAAAAACACGTATACTAACTATATGCTAAAATAAATATAGTCTAAATATAAAATGAACATATATTCTAAATATATCTAAATAAATATATGTGGCTGGAAAACCTCTAATAGTTCTTGACTTAGGACTAGAAGATTTGATTGATGTCTGTCATCCCATCTCCTGCTACAAGTATCCTTTCATCCTTCTGATTCTGATGCCGGGCAGCTTTTCCTGCTGCCTTCCTGTCTTCTTTTACCTTTCCAGCTTCATTTCTATTTATTCTCTACCGAACTGAAACTTACAGCTCCAGTGTTTGAATCTAGTTCCAGACATACCTGTGGGGGCTTTTAAATTCCTACAACATTTGCCTGCTATTCATCTTCTATTTTTCTAAACAGGTGTTTGTCAAAATGGTTCTTGAACCATCTACACTGGAACCACATAGAGTGCTTTTTAAAAATTCAGATTCTGTGCCCCATCTCATATTTACTAAATCAGATTCTCTGCTTCATAGGGCCTGGTTATTCTAGGTACTTAACAAGTATTCTAGCTACATCCTAAACATGAAGTTTGAGAACCACTGCCCTAGATACTGAGTGAACAAGGGTTTATAGAGATCCCCAGGGACTTAGTGTATTAACCTGAAACAGTTATTTCAGGTTAATGAAATACACTAGTGGGAAAAACATATTCTGAGCCCAGGGCTGGGCACCTTGGCTCATGCCTATAATTCCAGCCCTTTGGGAGGACGAGGTGGGCAGATCATGAGGTCAAGAGATCGAGACCATCCTGCCAACATGGTGAAGTCCTATCTCTACTAAAAAAAAAAAAATAAATACAAAGATTAGCCGGATGTGGTGGCACACACCCTGTCATCCCAGCTACTCTGGAGGCTGAGGCATTAGAATTAGTTGAACCTGGGAGGCAGAGGTTGCAGTGAGCAGAGATTGTGTTATTGCATTCTAGCCCAGGAGACAAGAGCAAGGCTCTGTCTCAAACAAAAGAAGCACACAGTTTTTATGTTAGAGACTGTCTGATTTGAGTTTATTTGAAATTTTCAGCATTAGAGAAGAAAGAGGAACGATTTCCTCCTGTCTTTTCCCCATGCATATAAAATAGACTGAAAGCTTTTTCATGCATGTTATTAGTTTTTCTATTTTGATTTCTGCAACAAAAATACAAGGAAAAATTGGAGAGAAAGAAAAGGACCAAAGTAGTTAATAGTTATTACTGCATACACAACTTTCTGATTTGACTTGTGCTTCTTTTATCTTTTTTATTTTCAAGTAAATTTTGGCAGACCATTGTTGGTTTATAATTAACATTAATCTTAGGAAAACCAGGCTAACATTGGCTTTAAAAAATTACAGGGCAAAGGTTGGAAATAAGCTGTTAGTGATTAGGAGCAAATGAAGTAGGAGAGTGTGGTTTGCAGGCTTAAAATTCAAACCTTTTTTATTGTTCATTTGGCCTAAGTTAAGTGTCTGTGAATGATTTTGGTAGGTGTCATTGTATAAAATGATTGTCACCAGCTTGGTATTTTTGGTCACCTCTGAGTATTCATCTTCAGGCATTTGTTCCCTTATAGCCAGGCTTTAGGGATGAATAAATTATGTGAACATCTGCCATTTACTTCAGTTTTTCTTTTTAACAGCTACTTCAGATGTTATTTAAACAGGTGCAGAGGTACCTCATGAAAGAGCATGGAAAATGAAACATAACAGTAGGACTGTGTGTAAGGTTGCTGAGATAGGTATGAGAAATACTTCTAAGGAGCAGTTATTGAGAATTCATTTTCAGCTTTGTTGTTTATCTCATTATGGGCTTGCAGTTTTGCCATTTGTAACCTTTAGTCTTATGTAGAAAAACTTAATATAAATCGTCATTATTTTTATGGCTTAGCATATATCTACATTTAATTGTGTAAATAGCATTCTTTGAAATAAGAGCATTCTATGTTACACTAGAAAACCTCTGTGATACTGTTGAGCGATGCTTTAGTCCAGCTCTCCCTTCATATTAAAATTGTTTGGAAAGCCTATAAAAATAAGCAATTGCCATTGCTCCACTCAGAGCAATTTAATTGAGGTAGACGAGAGATGGGGCTCTGGGAATCTTTTTTTTTTAATTGGTTGAAGCTGGTGATGTGGTACTGATGTGTGGCATGATTGAAAATAAGTATGTTAAATCACTGCTTCTTAAATGATTTGGTATGAAGGACTAGTTTTTTGGCTGGTTTATTTCTAATTGATTATGAATTGATACTTTAAAAAAATACAATCAAGATGAATTATTAGAAAAATGTAATTCAGATTCCAATATTTGACTATTAGATTCAACAGGTACAAAAATTGCTCTTTAAATTGCTACAAACCTTTCTAAATGAACCATTAGCAATCAGTTTGCAGACTGGCCCTGGTCCTTGGCTACACTTGGAGTAGAGTGTTTTAAGCCATGGTTATTTCCCTGATAAATTGTTAGTTATTGATGTGTTGATGTCAAAATGGTGTGCAAATCACTTTAATCTTAAGACTTTCTCTTAAGATTAAAAGGCAAACTATAGGAAATTGCTTTTACTCATCATTGACATAGGGTCTCCTTTGGTGTAAGCATTCTACAAAGTTCAGAAACTAAAAAAAAAAAAACTGAAGCCATAGTCAGTTTGTAACTTTAGGGAATCTGAACTCACTAGATATGCAAGCTAAATCTAGAATATTTAGTGTAGCGTTTTATGAACTCTATAATAGCCAGTCCTTATGTCCTTAGTTTACACTGTGATTGTAACTTGGATTTAATTATTGTTTTATCATTTAAAAATATTTTTTATTTCATAATTTTCTGTATATTTTCATTGATCTTCCTAACAACCTTGTGTGATGAGTGGAACAGAGTTTATCACACTTACTTTGCAGATTGGAAAAGTGAGACTGAATTCTTACATGAGGGACTAGTTCTCTACTTCTATTTTAGTTGGAAAATAAAAATTGAAACACATTTCTTGACTCCATTCTAGTTTTGTCACTACACATCAAAGACTTGTAACCGCTGACACTGTGTATTAGTGCTCAAGTGATATGGTGGCCTAAACAACTCTAATTTTTAGAAAAAATTTAAGGTATAGGTAGATGTAGGATGCAGACGCTAAACATTGTGTGTGTGTGTGTGTGTGAGAGAGAGAGAGAGAGAGAGAGAGAGAGAGAGAGAGAGAGACATCTAGAGCATTCTTGTAAAGGATATAATGGAAAAAATAAAAGGTAAAATTTTTAATGTTCTTTCTTTGTTTTGTTTTTAACTGCAGAATCTATTTAATATGATTGTAGAAATACCTCGGTGGACAAATGCTAAAATGGAGGTAACCAATATATTTTATTAATATAAAACCAAAGTGATTATAATGACATAAAACTTTGTTGTAAGTTGTTTGGAATAATGTTTTGAATTTGGGATAGTTGAGAAAAATACTCAAAGCTAAGTATATACATTATGGTTTTATAGAGAGTGTTTCACATTTGCCACTCAGTTTGTTATACATGTATTAATTTTCTTTGTTTCCCCTTTGAAAATGGCAAATACTTCAAAGGTTATTTATGTAGATTCTGAGATATATTAGGTTCATAGATGTAACTGAAACATTTATTTGGGGCTGATGGCAATTTTAATTTCTTAGGACTCACTTTTCCTTTAGATTTGACTCTACCAGGAAGAAGTCATTTCCTAGTTAATTTAATTTATGACTATCACAGAGCATCTGCTATTCTCCTGGTTAGCTTTTTTTTTTTTTTTCTGGGAATTGAACCTATTAATAACTTCCCTTTTGCTTTTCAGAATTTTATTGTTCTTTCTTCAGTTAGGTAAGCTTCCTTATAGTTCTAGGTGAAATTTAATTTATGTTACTTTGTTTAGTTTTATAATCCTTCTATAACTTTGGGTGTGATAGCAAATATTTTAAGTAATTAAATTAGGTATTATTATATAGGTGTATATTTTTCAGAATTTATATTTGGAAGAGAATTATCAGTACTGTCACCAGGTCCTGGCAGTACTTTTGGTTAACACTTTAATAGGAAAAGTAAAGATATTAGATTCTTCTTTTTATGTTGTTTCATGTGTAATGTGTCATCGTTCTTGCTACTCTCCACCTCATTCAGGTGTAGGATCCAAGGATCTGTGAGAACCTACCTAACTTAAGCAGTGTTTCTTCATTCAACATGGCTTGTTATTTTTTGTTTGTTTCCTATATAGCATAGTTTTTAAAAATAGCAATGTGAATATACTTGATAGAAAACTAACTGAGTCTAGGCACAGTAGCTCATGCCTGTAATCCCAGACCTTTGGGAGGCCAAGGTGGGCAGATCACTTAAGGCCAGGAGTTTGAGACCAGCCTGGCCAACATGGCAAAACCCCGTCTCTACTAAATATACAAAAATTAGCTGGGCACAGATTTTTCTGTGGCGGTGGATGTCTGTGATCCCTGTTACTCAGGAGACTGAGGTATGAGATTTGCTTGAACCTGGGAGGTGGAGATTGCACTGAGCTGAGATTGTGCTACTGCACTCCAGCCTGGGTAACAGAGTGAAACTCTATCAGAAAGAGAGAGAGAGAGAAAGAAAGAAAGAAAGAGGAAAGAAGGGAGGGAGGGAAGGAGGGAGGGAGGCTAACTCTGAAAAAAATCAGTTGGTGAGAATCTCTTTTTTGATGATTTTTAAACTTTATTGTAAATTGACAATTTTTAATCATATGTATTTATAGGGTACAAAGTGACATTATGACTTATGAATACAGTATGGAATAATTAAATCAAGCTAAAAAATACATCTGTCACATAAAATATCATTTTTTATGGTGAGAACATTTGAAATTTACTCTTAGCAATTTTGAAATGTACCATACGTTATTAACTGTACTCATAGTTGTGTTGTTGTCTCAACAACAAAAAATCTTTTTCTTCCTCTCTGAGACTTTGTATCCTTTGACTGTCATTTCCCTATTCCTCCTACCCTTACCCTCTGTAACCATAATTCTGCTTTTATGAGTTTGATTTTTTAAATTCCACATACAGGTGAGAACATGAGATACTTGTGTTTCTGTGCCTGGCTTATTTCACTTGCTGTAATGTTCATCAGTTTCATCTATGTTGCCACAAATGACAGAATTTTCTGCTTTTTTTAAGGCCAAGTGCTATTTTACTATGTATGTCTACCATATTTTCTTTATCCATTCATTTTTTGATGGACACTTAGGTTGATTATATATTATTTCCAATGTTTTTTGATGTCTCTAAAGTGTTCTGTATATAAGATCATATCATCAGCAAACTGTGACAATTTCACCTGTTTCTTTCCTACTTGGATACCTTTTATTGTTTACTCTTGCCTAATTGCTCTGGCTAGGATACTTCTTCCAATACTATGTTGAATAAAAGCAGCAAAAGTGGGCATTCTTTTCTTTTTCCAAATCTTAGAGGAAAGGCTTTCAGTGTTTCACTATTGAATATGTGGTAAGAATCTTTGAGTTAACTTTATTATCATACGACTGATGGTAATTAAACCTGAGGTTAGTAACAAAAAGCAAGTTGATTAATCTTTTTCCTCTTGCCATCTCAATCATTTTATTATTTGTGTTAGAAATGATGGAGTACATAAATAATAGAGTGACTAAATATATAATCTGGTGTTTCCTTTCCAAGCAGTTTTTCTCATATAGTACTATAAAGTAGTAATAAGAGCTGGCTTAATTTCTTTTAAAGTGCATATGATCATTGAGTTGGAATATGAATATTTAGTCTGAAAATAGCAGATTTTAAAAAATACTATTTGGATATAGAATTAATTATTTCTCATCCTGTCTCTTTTTCTTCCTTCTGTGATTTGCTTAGATTGCCACCGAGGAGCCACTGAATCCAATTAAACACTATGTGAAGGATGGAAAGCTACGCTATGTGGCCAATATCTTCCCTTACAAGGGTTATATATGGAACTATGGTACCCTCCCTCAGGTAACAGTTTTGTTATAATGGTAAAATGTTTCTGTCTTCTGAAAACATTGCCTTGTAAATCTTGTGAACTACATGAATTTAGATTGTTTCCGAGGACATGTCATTTGGAGAGCTTTGTAAATTTGGAATTTATTAATGTGGAGTTTTAGTGTATCAGTAAATTTTTGTTTTAAACTGTATGTATGTCTATACGCAAGTTCTTGGAGTTAGGCAGATAGAATGCTCACAGTCGACATTTTAAATACTTTTATTTTTCCGGTATTGGCTAAGTGTCAGGGAAAAATTTTTAAGTGAGGCTTTCCTTTGAACATGACAAGTTATGCTTCTATATACATTCATATATGATAGCATGAATTTTGTATTTTAAACTTTAACAGATGAATGTTTTAAATTATTAACTTTTTTCCTGGAACTTGTGAATTGAATTGCACAACTTATATTATTTACTGTTATGAGTTAATAATTTTTAAGTGGAGAACAGAGAAAACAAGAGCTAAATGATGGTAAGGTGGCATTCCTGTTGGAGAATAACAACTTACTACTTGCTTTTCTTCCTTTCTTTATCTCATTCTCATGTTTCCTCACTCCCAGGAAGTGGTAACTCTTCCAGATTATTTAGTGAGTAAAACTCAGAATATGCTGAATCAAAAGTCTAGGATTTGGGGACACAGACAACCATCTGCCTTTATGTTTATAAAAACCATAGATCTGTTTTTGGTATTTAATTTTTATATTTTTATTTATTTTAATATTTTGCATGAAATTTCAAGATGGTATTGGGGAAATATCTGTGAAGAGAGGTCCTGTTTTATCCAACACGAAAAAGCAACTGCCTGTGTAGAATAAACATTCACAGGAAAATTTTTTTTTTAATTGTTTTCTAAAGAGTCAGGCTGTCTCTGATTCGGTTAGACCACCCACATGGATACATTCTTGGTTAAAATGGGCAGTTTGGGCAGTTTTAAAGTAATGTGCTAAGAATGAGAATGCCTTTGGAAACCATGAAAGCAGGTTTTCTAACTTTCGAGGTACCTAAATAGATGCACTGTTTAACCCAACAGTAAATGGTTAAAAAGGTTCTATAAAGCTTAGGGGATGCAGCCTGTAGGAGAAGATATGTGGATGAGGGGAATGCTGAAGAAGCCATTGAATTAGAAACAGACAAAAAAAAAAAAAGAAACAGACAAAAACAGAGAAGTAAGTAGACAGCTAGAGAATAAACTAAAGTGCATATGTTTATTTCTTTAAACATTTATTAAGGATTTATGTGCTGGGCAGGATATTAGGTGTTGGGTATATAAACACAGATGAGTTGCAGGTATAGATCAAAGCATCGTAATAAGTGACTAAAAAATGTGGATTTGGGAGCAAGATTGTTGCTTTAGTAATGTGACCTTAGGAAAGATATTTTTCCTCACTTTCTTCATCTGTAAAATAAAGAATATAAAATATCTACCTCTTATGTTTGTGTTGAGATCAAATGAGTTACTGCATTCGAATAGTGTATAACATAGAGTAATCAATTTTTATTATTATAATTAAGACTGGTACTTTTATTATCATATGGCTCTTTCCCTAAAGTTATTTGTAGTCTGACTGGGACAATCAACAACAACTAAACTGCTGGTTATGATGTGGTATAATAGGGACTACTAATTTAACATTATTTTATTGTGAAAAAATAAAAAGCCTATCAATGGGAAGGAGAGAATGGGAGGAATGGAGGTAAAAACAAAAGGAGCTTCTGTAGTGTTCTGTTTAAAACCCTGCCAAATTTTCGTGCTCTTCTGGATATGTTTGGATTTTAAGACGTTCTGCAGTGGTATTAATCTAGCAGGTATGGTAGTTCTTCTATTAATAAAACAGAATTAGACTGTGGCAGTCCCCTAATTCAGTATTCACCCTGCATCCACCATTGCTTACCTAAGTTTCATACTTCATCCAACATCCAAACTGATATTTTTAAAACATAAATTTCTGAATGCTTTTCCTGTATAAGAACACTTTAATGGTCTCCTGTTGCTTAAAAGATAAAATACAAAATCTTTAACGTTGTTACTCAACCCTGTGTGATCTGGCCTCTGCTTACTTCTCTATCCTCATTTTGCATCATTCTTCCTTTCTCACTCCTGTCCACCACAAAGTCTTCTTCAGTGTTTCTAACTGACTTCATTGTATCCACACCAGGCCTTCACCAAACTGTTCATTCATTCAATACATATATATTAAAGGCCTGTATATTTGCAAGGTGTTCTTGTAAGTACTGCAGGTAAAACAGTGATAAACAGTGACAAATATTTCCCTGGAATTTTATTCTAGTTATATAAATAAACAATAAGCAAAATAAACCCCAAGTAAAATGTCAGGTAGTAAGAAAAGTTAAATGGAATGAGGCTGCGGGTGTTAGGATTGTTGCAATTTAAACAGGGAGATGATCTCAGTGAGAAGGTGTTATTTGAGTGAAGACCTAAAGGAAGTCAGGGAACAAGTAGTGTGGACATCTAGAGGAAGAGCAGTCCAACAAGAAACAGCAAATATAAAGGTCCTGAGATGGAAATAGACCTAGCATGTGTGAGTATCAAAAAGGAAGCCATTGTGGCTAGAATGGAAGTGAAAGAGAAGAAATAGACCTGCATTCTCTGTGCTGTCCAGAGATCTGTACTGTTTTTTTAAAACCTGGGACTGATCTTGGAGAAAGAGAGTGAGAGAGCACGCGCATGCGTGCGTGCGTGTGTGTTTGTAATCAGGGAAAGAATACGCCATCAATTGCATATAAGTTAGTTGTTTATCAAACAAAATAACTAAATTGAATGATGTTTTTAAGAATGCTGAAATCATGCCAGTTGCTTATGGGAAGGGGTAGCTTTACCTAATTATTATTATTATTATTTTGCTTGATTGTTGATGTTCAGACGTGACCCTGTTAAAATGAAAGCCATCCGCTGGTCCCATTTACCTTTTTAATCTCATCTCCAACTCTCCTTCTGCCTTCCGCTTCTTCACTTCCACATTGGCACTCTGGTGCTCGAAGCACACTCCTGTCTCAAGCCCTCACCTTCACTGTGCCCTCTCCCTGGAACACTCCTTCCCAGGTATGCACACAGCTTGCTTTCTTAAATTGCTCAGAAGTTCCTAAAATTGCTCTTCTTCATAGTATCTGCCAACCATCCTTTAAAACTTTTAACCCGACTCCCATTCCCACCTTATACTTATTCCCCTTTTCCATAACACCTACCGAATTGTAACCTGCTGTATAATTTGTTTATTATGTTTATTGTTAATTTCTCCCAGCTAAGATGCAGACTTCATGAGGTCAGGGATTCTGTCTCTCTTGTTCATTGATACATTCTAACTACCCAGCTTAGTGCCTGACATGGGGTAGGTGATTAATAAATATTTATGAAATGAATAAATTAATGAATGCATTGTGTATGTATGTCACATTTGTCTCACAGGTGTGTGTGGATACTTTTGCTGTTCTATAATTTATCTTGTAACAGCAGGAAGCTTGTACAGAGCAGTTACCAAGCCAACTGTGTGCTTGGAAGAACATTTAAGCAGCAGAATACTGTTTAAGTGGTAGTCTATCCACTTAGCTTGTGATTCATCAGTATGCCATCATTATTCAGACCTTCAGCTGCCTAGACTGTTAGCCTTATTAGCTTCTCCCACACTCCTAATAATGCCTTGCTCAAAGTTTAGGCTTGCCTGGGCAAAAATCATCTTCGTCTTCCTACCAGTTTATGCATGTTGCCCACATATAATGGGTTATTTCAATGTGTAAATATTTAGAACACCTGTCTGGAAAATATTAAAAGAGTAGATTCAATTTAAATTCAAAATTTCTTCAGTCTTAATGTAATATTGATATGTTTATTTTGTACTTAATTATAAATTTGGTTCATTGGCCTCCCCAGTCAAATATATAGTACTACTTACTAGCTTTATAACCTGAGACAAGTGACTAAATCTCTCTAGGCCTGTTTGTTTATCTGGATGATCATACTACCTACCCCACAAGGTTATTGCAAGTATTGAATGAGTTGATCAGAGGTGTTTGGCTCCATAGTGAGTTCTTAATAATGTTAACTTAATGATGACATTCTTGCTACTGATGTCAGTTGCTAGTATAAAAACACTGGTAGAGGCTTTTGCTCCAAATTGAAGCTCAGAAAGCATAGGTAATGGCTCATCCCTGTAATTCCAGTTATTTGGGAGGCCAAGACAGGTAGATCACTTGAGGCCAGGAGTTTAAGGTTGTACTCAGTTGTGGTCACACTACTGCACTTCAGCCTGGATAGCAGAGTGAAACCCTACCTTAAAAAAAAAAAGGAGAAGGTAGTGGGAACATCTTTCTTCCTTTGACTTGGTGATAGGAATCCTGGTTAATCAGGAAGATACTCTTAAGGACCACCTGTGCATATGACTTTGATTCAGCTATTTTTTTAGGAGATCTAAGGACCAGAACACAGTGATTACAAATGTATTGGCCAATATTTATAGATTATAAGGTAATAATTGCAATGACCTTCATGAAAATGAGAAGGATTTGTTTTAGGGTATAACAGTGATATGTGTATTCTGATTTATTCATTTTCATAGCTTTATAATCATATTTTCTATAACACTATTTTTCTGTTGATAGGTTTTTTGTAGCTTTTATGTCTTTCTATGCTAAAGTTTTTCTGTATAGATAGTGTATACAGGTATATACCCATTAGTCTCTGAGTTATATACCCAATTTACTTTACTCAGTATTTTCAGACTGTTTATAGAAGGAATTTTGACAATTTATACTCCTGCCAGCAGTATATAGGGTTCCGGGTATCCTGTATCCTTACTAATAATTGAGATTATAAGATTTTTAAGTTTTTGAAATAGTATTTTATTGTGATTTTAACTAGTATTTCTCTGATCAGACTAGTTATCTTTTCATAAATTTATAAGTTATTCATGTTTCCCCTTCTTTTAATTACCTGTTCATGTCTTCAGCCCGTTTTAGTTGGGTTGCCCTTTTCTTATTTAGTTGTCAAAATTATTTCTAAAGTCTGGAAGCTAATCTTTTGTCATTTTTGTGAAACCATTATTAATATTTTGAACTTCTGCTTCTTGATATTTCTTCTTTAGCTTTTGTGCTTTTCTAGTTGTTTGTCTATTAATAGTTTTACACCTAAGACTCCACATGACAGCAAACCCAAAGCTTTAATTTTTCAAGATTTCCTTTTCTGTTGAAATTATACTGTATTTTCAAGTTAAATTAGAGGTGATTTAGTTTATATCTCTTTTTGTAGTAAAAACTGAGACCTGTAGGTGTAAAGTATTAAAAGTTGGAAATAAAGGGAAATAGTCTGGTATTTTTGATGGTAAGGAAAATCATGAAGAATTGGCTCTAAATTTCACAATATTGTAGAGTTAAGAGTTTTTCGCTTGGGTACTTAATTCCTCAATACATGTAACCATATTGCTAGGTGATGTTGAAATTGGAGTTCTGAGGAGCCAACCAACCAACAGAAATATCCACCACAATCAAGTTGAATATAAAGTAATATCAAGACAGTTTTTGTCTCTATGTGAAGAAGGACTTTAAAAAAAATTAATGTTTATCAAAATGGTCACAAGTAGGTCATAAGTATGTGGGCTTCCTGTTCAATGGTAGCATTCATGCAGATTGTGAATGAGCACTAAAAATCTTAACATTTTAGGACTAAGATATATCTAAAGATCCTCTTATTTAAGCCATTCTTTTTATTTTTTGTAGAGATGGCGTTTTGCCATGTTGGTCAGGCTGGTCTCGAACTCCTGACCTTGTGATCCGCCAGCCTCTGCCTCCCAAAGTGCTCGGATTACAGGTGTGAGCCACTGTGACCGGCTAAGCCATTCTTAATAGTGAAGAAAGAGAACTGGATGGTTTAGTCAAGATAGTTTATCGTCGAATCTAGATGTTTTCCTTTAGGGCGGTGGCACTTCTAGCTTGTTCCATTTGTTCTCTTGGGAGTGGGAGTAGGAATAAGGAAAATATGAGATGGAATTTCTGCATTAGCAAGGAGGAACCTCTCAGATATTTTCTGATTCTCATTAGGTTGCCTGATTCTGATTATACCTAGGTGTCACATCTTGGTTTCCACAGCACATTAAGATTACCTTTATAGCATTTGTCACAAATTTTATTAACATGACACTCTCCAGGGTATTGACAGTTTCCTATACATCTCTGTTACTGTCCCAAAGTTGGTACTCGGCAAATATTTTATTGTATGAATGAATGCCTGTTAATAGAAAAAAAGAATCAGTAACGGGAAGACTGGGAAAGAACAGAACCTCTTTAGGAAAGTTAACGTAGGAAATTCTCAGAGTAAGAGAAGGTATTTAAAAGAAGAGAACCACTAAGTAGATGGTGTTATATTTGAAAGTAAATGCCATTCAATTGTTATAATTTGCACATAAAAAATAATGATTAATTGGATGAGTTCTTATACAGTCTTTACTATTTAGAAACCATGAGTTTGTGCAAGTTTAAACTTTGTTTCAATTTACTTATCTACAAAGTGGAATTTGTTATGATACATTATTCATGTGGTATGTATGTATATATGTATATATTGGGTGTGTATATATCAGCTAGAAAGTGTTTGCCACTTATGACCAGTGTGTAAGATTAACAATTGTGGTTATTCTTACATTTTCTTAGTAGTATTAGTATTTGGTGCAGTGAAATGTTTTTGGATTTATTGATTTTTTTTAAGATAAAGTTAGGCCAGGTTATTTCTGAATAAACTATAATTAGTACTAGAAGGAAAATATTGGCGTTTCTTTAGTGCTTAGGTGTAAATAAGTTTATTTTTAATTATCTATATAAAATTAAAGGAAATAAGCTTGGATAATCTAAAATCTTAGATAATGTTAATCTGAATCTTGGGATGACGGTCTCTATATTCCTTTTAATTTGAATTTAAAGCAAATAATTTTAGAGTGCTTGTACAGTTACATTTAGAATCAGGCAATTCTAAGGCTTTGGAGAGGGATAGTGCCTAAGGGATCTTTACTCTTACTTGAAATTTTATATTATGGTCTTCATTTGTAAAAATTCCCATGTATGTATTTTGTAACCAACAGGGTATAATCTTGCCAGTAAACTAAAGAATTGACATCTTTTCATGTTTTTATTAAGGTCCTTGAGATTTGACAGGTAGAGGATTTTTTAATGGAATGAATGAGACAAAATAGGTTTTTATTTTCTTTAGTAGTGTTTTGTCCTTTGATTTATAAGGGAAAACTGGGTTTCCTTTAGTAATTTAGACCCCTGTGCTGTTACCATGTGAAAGGAAGCAATGAATGATGGAAGCCACAGTTGAGACAAGTCAGTGGAAACACAGAAACAAGGACATAGACAATGGGAACATCCACTGAAGCTCTAAAATTAAATGTGAATTTATTTCCTTACTGAACTTGGAAGATGAGTGTGTCTGGATATACCACCCACATACGTACAGATGCAGTTATACAGACAACTGAGAGACAGAGGGAGGAAATACTATAAATCTGTTTTAATTATTATGATCCTTAGGGACATACTGGCCTGTTGGCCTTGAGCCTGTGTAATTTCTGATAATGTTTTCTTTGGATTATGGTTATCTATGAAACTTTGATTATGTGGAAAGATTAAAATACATTATAGTATTAACTTATATTTCTGCTTTGTTTTAAATTTTAGACTTGGGAAGATCCCTGTCAAAAAGATAAGAGTACAAACTGCTGTGGAGATAACGATCCCATTGATGTTTGTGAAATAGGCTCAAAGGTTTGTTTTATAGACTATATTAATTCTAACATGAGTTTTTGTTTATTCATGCCATAAAATTTCATTTTAGCCTCCAGTTCCTCAACTCTTCGAAGTTCAAGCCTGTTGATTTCTCTGACATCAGTCCCTCCTTTTATCTTCACTTTCTTGTCTTAAACCATGGGTTGGTAAATTATAGCCCTGTGACAAGTCAAAGCCAGCCTAACACCTGTTTTTATAAATAACACAGGTATGCCCATTCATGTACCTACTGTCTATGACTGCTTTTACACTGTGACGGCAGAGTTGAGGAGTTGTAGCAGAGATTATATGGTCTACAAAGCCTTTTATTATTATTTTATTATTTTATATTTACCATCTGATCCTTTATGGAAAAATTTGCCAAGTCCTGTCTTCACCTTCTTTGCACATTATTTAGACAGAAACTTCAAAACTCATGAAAGTCAACTGGTACTTTTTCTTTTTTTTGTGCCTGCTTTCAGGTTGCTACATCCTACTAAGTAAAAACAAAATCCACAATCTTAGAGATTGTTGCTACCCATCAATTCTTCTGTATATCTTTGGTTGGTTCTTTGTTCTATTTTCTATTACATTTATTGTTACTATTTCTTGTTTTCTGCAGACATTCAACTCTTCCCTGTTTTTTCTCATTCCTAGAGGGGCATCTCATCTTTAATTGTGTAGAGCTCAGAAACCAGCACATAGAAACTCTCAGTGTGGTTTAAATTTGTATTTCTCTGACGATTAATGATGTAGAGTATTTTTCATGTGTTTCTTGGCCACTTGTATTTCTTTTTTTGAGAAATGTCGGTTCATGGCCTTTGCCCACTTTTAAGGTTTTCTTTTTTTCTTGTTGAGTTGTTTGAGTTGTCTTAGTCCTTTGTTGGAAGCATAATTTGCAAATATTTTCTGCCATTCTGTAGGCTCTTTCTTCACTTTATTGATCATTTCTTTTGCTATGTAGAAGCTTTTCAGTTTAAGTCCCATTTGTCTATTTTTGTTTTCATTGCATTTTCTTTTGCAATCATTTCTTTCTTCATCATAAATTCTTTGCCTAGGCGATGTCCAGAGAGTTTTTTCCAGATTTTCTTCAGGGATTTTTTTATAGTTTCAGATCTTAACATTTAGGTCTTTACTCCGTCTTGAGTTAATTTTTGTGTGTGCTGAGAGATAGGGGTCCAGTTTCATTCTTCAGCCTATGGCTAGCCAGTTTTCCCAGTACCATTTATTGAACAGAGTGTTCTTTCCCCATTATTTTTTTCTTACCGACTTTGTTGAAGATCAATTGCTTATAGATATGTGACTTTATTTCTATGTTCTCTGTTTCGTTCCATTGATCTATGTGTTTATTACTGTACCAGTACTTTAGCTATGTGGTATAATTTGTCGCTGGGTAATATGATGCCTTCAGATTTGTTTTTTGTTTAGGATTGCTTTGACTATTCTGGCTTTTGTTTGGTTCCATATAAACATTAGGATTGTTTTTTCCTAATGCGGTGAAAAAATGACACTGGTAATTTGATTGGAATTACATTGACTTTCTAGATTGCTTTGAGCAATATGGTCATTTTCACTATTGATTCTTCCAATCCATGAGGATGGGATGTTTTTCCATTTGATTGTGTCATCTATGATTTCTTTCATCAGTATTTTGTAGTTCTCCTTGCAGAGGTCTTTTACCCATTTGATTAAATGTATTCCTGGGGAGAGAGAGAGAGAGATCGTGTGTGTGTGTGTGTGTGTGTGTGTGTGTGTGTGTGTGTATTGCAAATGAGATTGAGTTTTTTATTTGGTTTTTAGCTTGAACATTATTGGTGTATAAAAATACTATTAAATTTTATATATATATTTTATATCCTTAAACTTTATTGAAGTTGTTTATCAAGTCTAGGAGTCTTTTGGAGGAGTCTTTAGGGTTTTCTAGGTACACTATCATGTCATTAGTGAATAAAGATAATTTAACTTCTTCTTTTCCAATTTAGATACCTTTTATTTCTTTCTCTTGCCTGATTGGTCTGGATAGGACTTCCAGTACTATGTTGAATGGGAGTGGTGAGATTGGACATCATTGTCTTATTCTGGTTCTTAGGGGAAGTGCTTTCAGCTTTTCCACATTTGGTATGATGTTGGTTATAGGTTTGTTGCAGATAGCTCTTCTTATCTTAACGTATGTTCCTTCAGTGTTGTTGAAGATTTTTATCATGAAGGAATGTTGGATTTTCTGTATCTATTGAGATGATCATACAGTTTTTATTCTTAGTTTTCTTTATGTGGTAAATTCCGTTTATAGATTTATACATGTTCAACTATCCTTGCATTTCTGGAACAAACCCTACTTGATCATGATGAATTATTTTTTAATGTGCTTTTAAAGGACACAAGAATGCCAGTGGAGTGTTGATGCCTCCCACCATTGTATTGCTCTCAGTTTTCTTAGGTTTAGTAGTAGTTGTTTCATGAATCTAGGTGCTCTGATGTTGCATGCATATGTATTTAGGATAGAGCTTGATAATATATGCCTTAGTGATATCATCTTACATAGTATCTCTCAATGTTCTCTGAATCTCTTGTATCTGGGTGAAAAATATGGAACACGTCATAAATTTGCATGTTTTCTTTGCATCTATTCCTTTAGTTAATAAGACCTGAAAATAATATTTACTAATTATGAAATAAATATTCCCATCTAAAGAATAGTTCTTTGTTAGGGGTATGCTTCTTTCTTTCATGCCTGGCTATGAGATGAGTGGTTGAATCAGCTGTAAGAAGCATAGTGGTAGGAAATTCCTTTTAACATCACATTGTTAATGGGCAGAGGGAAGAAAGCAGAGTCCTGGAAGTTGATAACAGACTTAGAACCACAGATATAGAAAACTTTAATGTTCTAAGTCCCTTGAGGGATTTTGTATTGTTCATTCTGTGTCTAAGAAGACTAAATGTTATACTTTCAGCGTAAATTTGTTGAATTGATTTAGATTGAATTGAAGTGTGGTGGTTTTGTAAGAATTCTACCATTTATTCCTAAGCATCTAGTTTTTGGTTTGATTGAGTTTTCCTTTCCAATTTTTAAAGGTGTTACAGCAAAATAGTGCTTTGAGATAAAATTTTGCCTTTCTGTTGCATGTGAAGTCAAAGGGTATGTCTCATTCTGAGGCAACTTGGTAATCTGCTGGACATGCTTCCTTACTTGCTTTATAACCCATGAATGTCTTATCTGTTCTTATGTTGTTTGAAATTTTAAATAAATTCTGTGAATAAAAATGGATAAAACAATTTAGAATGTGCTTTTTAAAAGCTGTAGGTGATTCCGAGGAATTCTGATACTCTGCTGCCAGAGTCGGCTACAGGGTTTCTCAGCTTTGATACTATTGACGTTAAAGATGGATAATTCTTTATGAGAGAGAACTGTCCTCTGCAGCATCTCTTGCCTCTTCCTACTAGATACTAATAATATCTCCCCAGTTGTGACAACCCAAAATGTCTTCAGATATTGCCAGATATCCCCTAAGAGGGCAAAATTGCCTTTAGTTGAGAAGCTCTCATCTAGTGTATCTAGTGTGAATTAACCAGTATAGTAATCTTTAAACTGGCAATTATGTGATAACTTCAAATTTGAACATTTTTGTTTTATAAAGGATCTTACAGGTCTTTTGGTCCAATGCACCCATACCCTCCTGAAGCCTTCTGTTCTCAAGGCTTCTTATTCTAGTTGTTTCTTATCTGACAGTTTCTACATTGTTTTCCACTCTGGTTCCTTTTCACTAGATCTTCTCTGTTAGAATGGAGTAGTCTGGGTGCAGTGGCTCATGCCCATAATTCCAGCACTTTGGGAGGCAAGCTAGGAGAATCTCCTGAACCCAGGCGTTTAAGACCAGTCGGGGAATCATGGTAAGACTGAGTCAATCAATCAATAAATAAACAAATAAGCATACTACCACAGCTAAACAGTCCTCTCTAAATATGATCCAGCCTGTATAAGTTAGTATTTACATATGCAGTTGTAAAATTTTTTTATGGCATACTTTAGTGTTGATATATACTCAGAGCTGCAAATGTCATCCATATCTTTATAATTACTTGTCAGAAGTTCCTTTTGGACTTGAGAATCTAGAATTTAAGCAACCAGAGTCCAAACTTGAGGAAAAGTAATAGAAATAGTTTGTGATTGCAGCTGGTAAGAAGCATGCCAGAGGGCGGGGACTGAGAAAGGAACAGACAATATTTCAGACAATTGAGACCTCAACTGTAGAAGTTTCGTTCTTTGTTCATAATGTCTCTTCCCATGGACAGTGTTGTCATTGTATTTCCTTCGTAGATGTGGCTTCAGCTATTAACCCCTGGAGGCATGCAAAAAAAGCAGCTGAGCTAATCACAGTGGCTTCTGTGAGTTGGTGCCAAAATCAGTTCAAAGGAGCCCAGATAAATCTGCACATCTCCCATTTTCCATCTCCAGAGCCATCTTTTTGTAGTTTCAAATGGAAGTCTAATTTCAAAGTGGAAGCAGTTTAGTTGTTTACCTGTAATTTGTGGACATAAGGAAGATGAAACTTCTTTTTCTATTAAGAAATAGAAAAGCAGATTACAAAATTGGAGGTTTGGTGTTTTTTTAAGAACGCTATAAATAGTAGTTACATGCCCTTTTATAGAATTAGATCACTGTAGGAAATAACGTATAAAGAGTCCCTCAGAAAATTTGATTCTTTGACCCTTTAGGATCATGAGGTGCATACTTTAAAAAAAAAAAATTTCTAGCATTTTTGTTTATTGAGAATGGTAAGGGAAAAAATGAATGATTCCCTTTAGGAAACCAAACTTAATACTGATGCTTATAATAAAGTACTAGTCTATAAACCTTTATTTAAGGTGCTATATATGAATTACCTTATTTATTCTTAACTGCTAACCTGTGAAACAGGTATTTTTATTTCCAAATTTTATATAAAATTATATTCCAAGGAAGTTAAGTAATTTTTCCAAACTTACATTGCTAGTAAGTTGGC